GTGTGCCTGTCTCAGGCACTAATGCTTTTCCCTGGAGGACTGGACCGGTTCCTCTTTGGCCTGCAGACTAACTCATGTTCCTGAGCCCTGCAGGATCCTGTGTTTCAGATGCTAGGTTATTATTATGGGTCAGGAGATCCATGTAGAGCCGTTGTTTCCCAAAATTACCTAAGGCCTGCCTGGGGCTTGTGTTAGATGTGGGCAGGCCAAACGGCCTCTCCCCTGGATATTCTGACTTCACAGTAGATCCGCTTTGGGACTGGAGATCTTTTTTTTTTTTTTTTAAACCAAACTTCCAGTACCTAGAATCTAGCTTTTAAAGCTTTAAAGTACATACAAATCACCCGGTGACCTTGTTAAATACAGACACAGTTTACTGTGTCTGGGGCGGGCGGGCCAGGAGGAGTCAGTTCTAACAAGTTCCCAGGTGATATCTAGGCAGCAGGTCTAGGATCACAGCTGCTCGGGAGAGTTCAGGTGGTTCTTTTTTTTTCTTTTTTCTTTTTATTAAAATATATTTTATTGATATTTTACAGAGAGGAAGGGAGAGGGACAGAAAGTCAGAAACATTGATGAGAGAGAAATATTGATCAGCTGCCTCTGCACATGCCCCCACTGGGGATGTGCCTGCAACCAAGGTACATGCCCTTGACCAGAATCGAACCTGGGACCCTTGAGTCCGCAGGCCAACGCTCTATCCACTGAGCCAAACCGGTCAGGGCCAAGTAGTTCTTATCTCTAGGCACCTTGGGACACCAGGATCTAGTTCAAAACCTCAGCACACCTGGGGAGCTTTCAAAGCATATTAAGGTTCAGGTCCCACTGCAAACGAATTCAATCAGAATCGCTCAGGTTTGGTTTGGTTGGTTTGGTGTTTAAAGGTTCCAAAGTAACTCTGATGTAAGACAGGGTTAAGACTCATTCCCCACCAGCATGAAAATAAATTAATGAATAAATGGAATAGACCCATGGTCGGCAAACTGTTGCTCGCGAGCCACATGGGGCTCTTTGGCTCCTTGAGTGTGGCTCTTCCACAAAATACCATGGCCTGGGCGAGTCTATTTTGAAGATGTGGCATTAGAAGAAGTTTAAGTTTAAAAAATGTGGCTCTCAAAAGAAATGTCAATCGTTGTACTGTTGATATTTGGCTCTGTTGACTAATGTGTTTGCCGACCACTAGAATAGCCCTCCTCTCAGACTTGTGGGATAAAGCCCTTGACTGGGTTAAATATGTGGATCATGGGTGTTGCTAGATCAATGTGAGTTTGAAAATGGGTAAAGGAGAAAGGGAGCTTGACCTGGAGTTCACAGACCAGTTAGAGGAACAGAAGGAATTCCAGGACGCCCTGGGGGAGGGGGCAGGGCTGACAGTACAGTGCGGGGGAGGGGCAGTGAGGTAAGGGTCAGGGAAAGCAGCAAGAAGCTCTGTTGTATGTAAAAGGTGAACAGAAGGCAGGACCTTCCAGGCACAGAGGGCACAATGTCCTCAGTTTGTGGGCGTGTAGAGAACGCAGCAAGCTCATGGAAGGGAACCAGCAGTGCTGACCTCACGGCTGGAGCATGGGGACCTGAGGGGGGCGGCAGAGATAGGCCCAGACTGGGAAATAAAGGAGTCATTGACCCCTCGCAAGGGAAAGACCTGGGATGACCTTATCTGGGCAGAGCCACTCACAGCAGCAAGACTCCACTGACAGCTTGCGTACAGCTGTTTTTGTGGACACAAGGCCCATGGACACAACTTTCTAGAAAGCATGTGAGGGGAGAGGAGGGGAGGGTGCTTAAACAAAGATCCACCAGCAACATCACCCCTTTTCCCAAGAACCCAGACCCTCTCCACCAGTATTTCATTTGGGCAAGCGCCCCTTTTGCCAAGCACTGAGTTGGAAGGCCAGAACCAAGTCCGACAGTTCTGCCCTAGTGAGGCGGGTAAAAAACAAAAAAAGGCTTTCCAGAGGAGTAGGAAAAGGGTCTTGAAGGGTTAAATAGTTGAAAGGGGGAAAGGTTTAAAGAACACAAGGATTTGCAAAACATTGAGAAAGGACATGGCTGAAGCACAGAATGTGGCTGGGAATGAGGCAGACTGATAGGCAGAGGGGCCAGGACACAGACAGCCCTCATGCCAAGTTAAGGAATTTGGACTTATTGGACAAGCACAAGGGAACCACTGGAGGTTTTTAGTCTGAGGAGTGAGATGATCAAAGCTGGGGTCAAGGATGTAGTCTGACTTGGAAGCTGATCTTTACTTGTATGTGGAATCTAAAAAACAAAATAAGCTGAAAACCGGTTTGGCTCAGTGGATAGATTGTCGGCCTGTAGACTGAAGGGTCCCGGGTTCGATTCCGGTCAAGGGCATGTACCTTGGTTACGGGCATATCCCCAGTAGGGGGTGTGCAAGATGCAGCTGATCAATGACTCTCTCTCATCGATGTTTCTAACTCTCTCTCTCTCTCTCTCCCTTTCTCTCTGTACAAAATCAATAAAATATATTTTAAAAATAAAAAAATAAATGAAAACCAAATAAGTGAACAAACAAACTCATAGATACAGAGAACAAACTGATGGTTCCCAGGTGAAAAAGGGGTTTGAGGACTGGGTGAAAAAGATTAAAGTGTTAATAAGTACAAATTGGCAGTTACAAAATAGTTATGGGGATATAGAATACAGCATAGGGAATACAGTCACTATTGTAATAACTATGTATAGTGTCAGTGGTACTAGACTTATGGAGGGGACCACTTTGTAAGTTATAAATCTAACCACTCTACAGTACACCTGAAACTAATATAATGTTGTCAACTGCAATATTATTAAAAATTAGAAAAGAATGTGTGGATGTGGACAGGGAAATAAATGGAAGGTTAACATCATGATGAAGCCAGAATCTGAAAATAGCAGGTTTTGGTTTCCAACATTCACATACTAGTACCAAAGAAGAGCCGGTGAAGGGCCTGTGGGTGTCTGACAAGGAACTGAAGCTGGAGGGGCAGAGGACCACTGTGGCCTGCAGCATAAAAGAAACAGGCTGGTCCTAACCGGTTTGGCTCAGTGGATAGAGTGTCGGCCTGCAGCCTCAAGGGTCCCAGGTTTGATTCTGGTCAGGGGCATGTACCTTGGCGGTGGGTACATACCGGTGGGCGGTGTGCAGGAGGCAGCTGGTCGATGTTTCTCTCTCATTGATGTTTCTAACTCTCATCCCTCTCCCTTCCTCTCTGTAAAAAAATCGATAAAATATATTAAAAAAAAAAAAAAAAAAAAAAAAAGACTGGCTCAGCTCCAGACAGGAGTGGTCCTGCGGGCCTGGTCTCTCCCAGTGGTGTGTTTAATTCCATCTTTTCCTCCTTTTCAGGTTATAACCTTCCATTCTAATTGGAAATGAATTATTTACACTTATGAACATGCTGGATGCCTGCCTGACTTATTTATGTTTCACTTCCTTACATCTGAATAGGAATTCACACAGATCAGGGCAGATACAATTTTGATACAAATGCCCCTCCCCAACTGTTGCCTGATTAATCATTCCAGATCACTGCGCGGCCTTGCCATTATCCTGTGGAGTCCAATATCTATCTCTGCGCACCAATGACATGCCAGGTGCCCATGTCTTACAGCCGAGATTGGCACTATCAGACCCTGCCACCCGACCTTGATAATCTTTTTTTTATTTTCTTCTAGTATTCTTTCGACCTTGATAATCTTATCTCCAGTGCCATAACTTTCTCCAGGAGTCCAAATTCCACCCGTTCACCCCGCAAGACCCAGTTCCAAAACCTCCTATCCTAGGACGCCCCTCTATTGAGAGGAAGGGCCCCTCATGCTTCTGAATTTCCAGCGTCTTTTGTTTTTATATCCTTTACTGCACTCCAAGCTCCCCCAGGAGAGCTTGAGGATGGACAGTGGCACACAGTAGATACCTCAGCGGAGTGTTTGTTGAAGTTGGGTAGCATGGTCTTCCACACCCCAGCGCCAGCAGCCCAGACAACATGTTGGAGGCAATATCCACAAAGCGCTCTTGGGGGAGGTGGGCAAGGAAAGTGCATCCCCTGAGTAACCCCTTCACTCCAGGGGGGTTGCCTATTGGCTACCTCCGAGCAAAGTGCATGCACTTCACATCTTGGATGAGCCTCACCAAGGGTCTCTCTCCAAACGGACCTCTCAGGTTTCCTTCCACCCCTCACACCTGCTGCGTGCGTCCTTTCACAAGTTATAACCAGACCACTATTTCCCTTGCAGTAACTCTTACAAGCTCCGGGGGAGTTGCATGCAAGGCAGGCTTGACTTTTCAGACAGGGATTTGGGCCTCCGGGACCCGTGACTCGCCCAAGGTCACTCCCACTGGGTGTCAGGACTATTACCTAACCTCGGCCTCTAAGATGCCGGTGAAGCAGATAGAGCCAACACTGCAAGGCTTCTTTTTCTTTTTAAATATATTTTATTGATTTTTTACAGAGAGGAAAGAGAGAGGGAGAGTTAGAAACATCGATGAGAGAGAAAACATTGATCAGCTGCCTCCTGCACACCCCCTACTGGGAATGTGCCTGCAAGCAAGGTACATGCCCTTGACCGGAATCGAACTTGGGACCATTGAGTCCGCAGTCCGACGAAACCGGTTTCGGCAACACTGCAAGCTTTCTGAGATCAAAAGGGAACGGGTTAAAAGTGACTTATAAGCCCTAACCTAAAGCAAGTGTTCTGTAAACTGTGGTATCGGTAGCTGGGTGAAGAGGCCATTCCATGGGTTTATGAACCAAGACTAGAAAGTGGGGGGACCAGGTGGGGCACTTTCCCCCGCGCCCGCTTGCCAATCTCAACAATCCGCTCCCACTGCACGCTATGGGGAGCGTTGGCTGTTTGTGGCCCGGCAAGGCCACCGTACGGCGCCCAGGGTGCGGCGCTCGGGCTGAAGAAATCCCAAGGCCTCCGGACCGGACCAGGGTGATGAGTGACCCGCTACCTGCCCCGCGGCGGCGAGCGTACTCCTTTCGGAGAAGGTCGGCGTCACCTGACTCTCGCTATTTTAAAGGAGGGGCGTGGCCGCAGCGGAGGCCTCCCCCTCACGTGACCCCGACTCGCAAGGCGCAGGCGCGGCCCATCGGGGTCGGTCAAGGTCTGCGCCTGCGCGGGCTCGCTCGCTCGCCGATCCGGCGGCCGGCGGCTACCGGGCGTGGGGCCGGCGCCCGCGGCGATGGGTGAGTGCCAGCAGCCGCGGCGAGGGGAGCACGGGGTGACTCTGGGCCTGTGGGTGGAGGGTGTGGGAGCACGGAGGAGGGGTGAGGGGGCGCCCTGTCCGGGCCCTCTGCGCGCTCGCATTGCATTCTCCCTCAGCCCCCGGGTCCCCCGGCGCGTGTTCGGTTCTGCGCGCTCGAGGTTCGCGACCCGGGCCCCGCAGCGAGCGTTCCCCGCGGACGAGACTGCGGGTGGTGTTTTTGTGGCGCGCCCCGCGCGGGGAGGTGCCCGGAGCGGGGAGGGGCCGGGAGGGGCCGCGCTCTGCCCGCGCCCCGGGAGGAGGAGGGCCCCGCCCCGGGGTCCGAGATCGCGGGACCCGGACTCTGCGGGCCGTCGGAGACGGAAGGCAGGGGGGCATTCCTGTCCAGCCCTCGCCCCCTCCCCCGCCCTTCCTCCCCTCCTCACAGATGGGCCCCACGGACTCCTGGAAAGAGGTGAGTCCAGTCACACAGACAATGCTTACTCTGCGACAGACACCATGTTGCTTCGGGCGGTGCGAAACCCAATGTGCAAACAAGGTTTTTGGGGGCGGGGGGACGGGGGCGTTCATTTTAAATCTCTGTGCTCAGTGTTTGGTATGAAGCTCAGCTGGATGGCGCATGCCAGTGCCTCAGCTATAGTTAACCCTTAGCCCCTTAGCAGCTAGCGATCCACAGCTGGTCTTACAAACACCTGTTTCTCAACCTGCGAGCGGGGAGGCCCTGGCTGATTGGGTAGCGACCTGGCCACATTGAGCCTCCTCTGCTCTCGCTGTGAAAGGATTCCATGAGCCGAAACCGGTTTGGCTCAGTGGATAGAGCGTCGGCCTGCGGATTGCGGGGTCCCAGGTTTGATTCCGGTCAAGGGCATGTACCTTGGTTGCGGGCACATCCCCGGTGGGGGATGTTCAGGAGGCGGCTGCTCGATGTTTCTCTCTCATCATTGATGTTTCTAACTTTCTGTCCCTCTCCCTTTCTCTCTGTAAAAAAAAAAAAAAAAAATCAATAAAATATATTTAGAAAAGAAAAGAAAGGATTCCATGAGATTAAGAGGGGCTAGGACTGGTCCGGCTCCCTAGTGGTTCAGAGCACAGGTTAGGCATTTGGGAGTCACCCCTAGTGCATCTCGGGGACGAATCAAAGCTCTGACCTCTAGGAGAATTGGACTTGTCTGGTCTCTTCTTTGGTAGGTTAAAGTAAGCTCAGAGAAGTGGATTTTTTTTTAAGTTATAAGGCGTTGCTTTATATTTGTAGTAGCAAGATAATGTTATAACTAGGTCTAGAACCCAGGCTGATCTTGTACTGAATGCAGAGTCAGATCCGCGGACGGGAGCTCCCATCCTTTGAGAATTACAATCGCCTTCTCCACGGTTTTGCACAAAGACCTTTGTGCCTGGATCACCTCTGGGTCTTGTTTATCTAAAAATGGGCTGTAAATTTAAGCGGGAGTATAGACTTTACACTGTTTTCTTATGCAACAAGATTTTGACACTTGCGGTTGCTTGAAAGTCAACTTCATTAACTTCACTTCCTAATGGTGAGATAGTTTGTGTTTTAGGGGAGTGTGTGACTATGATAAATAAATTTTGCAAAGAAATTTAACCATGTTCATGGTATAGATAAACATAAAAATTCCAAACTTCATTTCTCCAGAATACTGTGCACACTGTCCTTCTGTTGCTATGTTGAGACCCTGTTTACACCATCCTGGTGTGTAGGATGAAACTAAAGGGAAAGCTTTCAATCTATGAAGTCTGGGTTTCATTCCATTCCTTTTTCCCGTGTCTGGGCCTGTAGGTATTGTTTTAAGGTGAAATAGTTTAGTAGAGTGCTTAATAAATGACTCACTAACTTCTGTTGGCCAATATTTTCTGCTTAAATAACAGTCCTGCTATTACTAAGAGTCGTTACAAACTGGATGAAATAACTTTAATTTGCGGAATTTTAGAAAGTAATGCTAGTACCATTTCAGTAAGAATTAAAAATGAGCATGAACAAAATATTGTACAGATACACAAATAACTTGGTCTGTGTCATCAAGGAACATAATACTGTTAAATAGTTCGTAAGTAGCAACTTTAGAATTTAAAATATGTTGTGTTCAGAATGTACAAGTGAAGTTATTTTCATTCATAAATTGTTACAATATATTGTGTAACTATATGTACACTAGAGGTTGTAAATTTAAGCAAGTGGGAGACTCAATCCCTCAGCCCAGCCTGCACCCTCTCACAGTCTGGGACCCCTCCCAGGCTGTCCACCTACTGGCTTAGGCCCATCTCTCTCGCAGTCCAGGTCCCCTTGCTCTCTCACCGCCCTGTCTGCAGCGGAGGTGGGAGAGGCTCTTGCCACTGTGCTCGCCAGTAATGAGCCTGGCTTCTGGCTGAATGGCACTCTTTCTGTGGGAGTGCACTGACCACCAGGAGGCAGCTCCTGCTTTGAATGTCTGCCCCCGGGTGGTCAGTGCACTTCATAACAACCGGTTGTTCTGTTGGTCATTCTGCCATTCAGTCTATTTGCATTTTAGGGTATCAGAATATTTTTGTTGATTATAATGTTTAGTTCTGAAACTGGAGAAAAAGCATTACGTAGATGTAAAGCATTAATTTGCTAAGTTTTAGTATAGTACTATTCAATAATAAGAATTTTTAAACTCATGTCAGCTGAAACAGTAAGAAGTAAGGATATTGAAGATTAATAGTCAACAATGACCAAACTCTAAACTCAGCATACTTCTTCTCTAGCATCTATAATTTTTTAAAAAACCCAAAACGTCATTGGCTTCTTTATTGGTTAAGAACACTAAATGCAACAGGCAGAAGGTCTGTTTAAAAACAAATTAAAAGGCTGTGGTTTTGTTTTTTGGTTTTGTTTATTTTCAATTCTCTTGACAGATATATACATACCCACAAAATAGTGTGTGAAGGGAAACTCATACATAAAAAGTTGTATCCTGAATTAAGGGAAATAGCTATTGAAACAGGAATTAACAAAGTCAGCAACAGATTAATATTTAAAAGCTGAGTCTTCAAATACTGTACAGCACAATGCTATTCTATATAAAGTACTAAGAACTGCTGGATATGAAGGAGGAAGTCTATAGATTTTAGTAAAAATGCTTTTCCAGGAAAAAAATCAAAACAAGCCGGGACTGGTTTGGCTCAGTGGATAGAGCATCGGCCTGCGGACTGAAAGGTCCCGGGTTCAATTCTGGGGGCAAGGGCATGTACCTGGTTGCGGGCACATCCCCAGTAGGGGGTGTGCAACAGGCAGCTGATCGATGATTCTCTCTCATCGATGTTTCAACTCTCTATCCCTCTCTCTTTCTCTCTGTGAATAAATCAATAAAATATATTTTTTTAAAAATCAAAACAATACAATCACCTTTGTGCACTGCTGGTGGGAATGCAGACTGGTGCAACCACTGTGGAGAACAGTATGGAGTTTCCTCAAAAAACTGAAAATGGAACTCCCATTTGACGCAGTAATCCCACTTCTAGGAATATATCCCAAGAAACTAGAAACACCAATCAGAAAGGATATAAGCACCCCTATATTCATAGCAGCACAATTTACAATAGCTAGGATTTGGAAACAGCCTAGGTGCCCATCAGCAGGTGATTGGATAAAAAAACTATGGTACATCTACACAATGGAATACTATGCTGCCATAAAAAGAAGGAATTCTTATCATTTGCAGCAACCTGGATGGAATTGGAGAACATAAATATGCTGAGTGAAATAAGCCAGTCAATGAAAGAAAAACACCACATAATCTCATTTATGGATAATAAAGAACATTATAAACTGATGAACAAAAAGATAGATACAGAGACAGTAAAGAAACAAACAGACTGTCAAATTACAGCGGGGAGGAGAGGGAGATCTGGGGGAGATAAGAGATCTACCGAAGGACTTGTATGCATGCATATAAGCATAACCAGTGGACGCAAAACTCTGGGGAGAAGGCATGTATGGGAGTGCAGCTGGGAGGGGGGGGGGGAGATTGGTAAGGTATGTACACATATAATAATACCTTAATAAAAAAAAATGAGAAAAAAAATTAAAAGAGGTCAATTGGGGAAGAAAAAAAAAACACACAATCAGATCAAGGAGGGTATCAGAATGTCAACATCTCATATTTGTTATAGAAAATTCTTTTTATCCAGAATGGACTAAAATTTCAGGCCAGGATGGACACTGAACATTTCTTACTCTATCCATATAAAGTTCTCTGTTTCTTTCCCCCTCACCCTGTAATTCAGCATGAGCCAGTAAAAGGATGGCTGCTTCTGGAATTGGCTATTCTGGTGGTGGTGTTTGTTGGGATGAGAATGTCATAGAACCTGGGTACTTTATGCTCGGATGACATGACTGGCATTCCACTGTGCAAAAAGCTCAGCGAACCTGGCTTCCCACTTTTGCTTCTTCCATTGATGAAGGTCAGCTGGAGGAGGGTGTATTTGTCACTGAACCTTTGAGACTGGAGGACAGTTTCCAAATATCAGATTCCATTCCTGCAGGATCTTTCCTGTGGGCCATGAGAAAGATGTTCTTCTCCTGAACATAAAGAATATGACATGATGCACAAAACCAAAACAGGCTTGGACTCTGAAAAAGAGTGCATATACAGTCATCCCAAATCAAAGCCACTATGGAGATGGTACAGATTGTGAGCCGACCATCAAACCACAATTCTCCACAGGATATCTTTTTTTTTTTTTTTTTAAATATATTTTATTGATTTTGTACAGAGAGGAAGGGAGAGGGATAGAGAGTTAGAAACATCGATGGGAGAGAGTCATCGACCAGCTGCCTCTTGCACACCCCCTACTGGGGATGTGCCCGCAACCAAGGTACATGCCCTTGACCGGAATCGAACCCGGGTCCCTTCAGTCCCCAAGCCGACGCTCTATCCATTGAGCCAAACCGGTTTCGGCTCCACAGGATATCTTAAAAAGTAATAAAAGTTTTACTGAAAGGAAAATGCATAGCCTTAAAATTAGGAAACAAAGAAAAATAAGCATCTAATTAAAAAAAGAGAGACTAAAATAAAGGTAGACAAAGCAAAAGAAAAGTGATAATAAAAAGGGAAATTATAAATTGGAAAATTGGAAAATTCAAATGCTGACTTCTTTGTCAAGATAAAAAGAATGTAAACTAGATAAATTGGCTAGCCTGCTAGCCCTGGCTGGTGTTGCTCAGTTAGTTGGAGTTTCGTCCTGTACACTGACAGACAGCAGGTTCAATTCCTGGTTAGGGCACATGCCCGGATTGGGAGCTCAATCACACAACCCTGGCAGGAGGCAGCTGCAGACAGCAACTGATCAGTGTTCACTCACATCAGTGTTAAAAATCTCTCCCTTCTCCTTAAAAATCAATATTAAAATATTTTTTAAAATAATAGACTATCTTGCTCAAGAAAAAAGGGAATATGAGTACACAAGATTAGAAGTATTTTTTTTAGCCCTAACCGGTTTGGCTCAGTGGATAGAGCGACGGCCTGCGAACTGAAAGGTCCCAGGTTCAATTCTGGTCAAGGGCATGTACCTCAGTTGCGGGCATATCCCCAGTGGGAGTTATGCAGGAGGCAGCTGATGGATGTTTCTAACTCTGTCATCTCTCTCCCTTCCTCTTTGTAAAAAATCAAATTATATGTGTGTATATATATATATATATATATATATATATATATATATATATATAGTATTTTAAAAAATAGAAAGTGCTTTATGAGACTATAAATAAACCAGGATTTTTTTTTAAAGGAAACCCAGTTATCAAAATGACTTCAGAGAAGAGAACCTAACATCCATTAACAATGGAAAAAATTGAAAATGCTACCAAAAAGCTACCATTCCTCAAAACACCAGGCCCAGATGGTGTCACAGGTAAATTTGTTTTGTTTTTATTTAAGTACAATTGGTATACAATGTTATATTAGCTTCAAGTGTATAATATTCAACATTTTTATATACCTTACAGTGTGACTGCCTCACTAAGTCTGGTGTCATGTCACCATGCAAAATTATCACAATATTATTGACTATATTCTCCTCCTAAAGGTGAATACTTTTTTTTTTAAATATATTTTATTGATTTTTTTACAGAGAGGAAGGGAGAGAGATAGAGAGCTAGAAACATCAATGAGAGAGAAACATCGACCAGCTGCCTCTTGCACACCTCCCACCGGGGATGTGCCCGCAACCAATGTACATGCCCTTGACCGGAATCGAACCTGGGACCCTTCAGTCCGCAGACCGACGCTCTACCACTGAGCCAAACCGGTTTTGGTTAAAGGTGAATACTTTTAACTTAGAAGGAAAATACAATATAATCTTGATAAGATTTAAATTGTTCACTATCATAAGGAATGAAAAATTTCTTTTTACAAAGCCAATGAAACATTGACACCTGAACTTGACATAATAGCCTATGAGGTAGGTAACATGCTGATTTTATATTGAGGAAATAGCCATAGAAATGTTGAGTAACTTGCTGAAGGTCACACGGTAGCTATGTGGTGGAGCCAGGATTTGAGCCCAAGCAATTAGCTGTAACTCTTACAAGTTACATGGGTTCTGCCTCCAATATTTACGTGATCATCCCAGTTGCTTCTTACAGAGTTCAAGATAGATTCTTGATTTAGTGTTTGTGGGAAGGAGTGAAAATGGTTGAACTTTAGTAAAACAGGAATAATATATTTCCTTCTAATATTTGAACTAAGAGCCCTATTCTCAGTTGATCATTAGTACTAGAAAGATGGAATCCATTTTTTAAACATGGTTTTTATTGATTTTTAGAGAGAGAGGAAAGGAGAGTGATAGAGAGAAATGCTCTATCCACTGAGCCAAACCGGTTTCGGCATAAACAACATTTTCATGAAAAATAACTTGTTCAAAAAAATTTAAGAAGAGTGTGATTTACAGTTTTGCAAGTTTCTTTTAATGTCTGGCTTAAAAGCTAGGTCGGGTCTCATATCTGCTTCTGCATTCAGTCTGTTGTACTAGTAAGTTGTTTTAGTTGAAGTATATGCAGAAAATCCAGCATATTGTATGTAGTTGGAACAAGGAGAACCTCCAGGAATCCTCGGAAACACTTGGAGAACTGCTAACCTACGAGGGGAAATGTAATAGTGGCCAGAAATTGGAGGAAGGTTTCGGGGGGAAAAAAAGCCATGTGTTTAACACTGTTTTTAAAGGTTTATCTATTGTCCATTTTATTATTTGTAGGTTAAAAAAAATCCTTCATGAAGAAGACAGATCTTAAGCCACATGATGGATTCAGAAGCGCATAAAGAGAGGTCGCCAATCATAACATCTTCAAAACAAGATATATCACCTCATATTACAGATGCTTGTGAAAGGAAACATTATTTGTGTGGCTGCTGTGCAGCTTTCAGCAACGTAGCGATCACATTTCCCATTCAGAAGGTCCTCTTTCGGCAACAGCTGTATGGCATCAAAACCAGGGATGCAGTGCTTCAGTTGAGGAGGGATGGATTTCGAAACTTGTACCGCGGAATTCTTCCCCCATTAGTGCAGAAGACAACTACACTGGCGCTTATGTTCGGACTGTATGAGGATTTATCTTGCCTTCTCCGTAAGCATATCCGCACCCCAGACTTTGTAACCCGTAGCATGGCAGCCATACTCGCAGGGACAACAGAAGCAATTTTCACTCCATTGGAAAGAGTTCAGGCACTGCTTCAAGACCACAAGCATCATGACAAATTTACAAACACTTACCAGGCTTTCAAGGCACTGAAATGCCATGGGATCGGAGAGTATTACCGAGGCTTGATACCGGTTCTTTTCCGTAATGGGTTCAGCAACGTCCTGTTCTTTGGCCTCCGAGGCCCCATCAAGGAGCACCTGCCCACCGCAACGACGTACAGCACTCACCTGGTCAATGATTTTATCTGTGGAGGCCTGCTGGGCGCCATGCTGGGAATCCTGTTTTTTCCAGTTAACGTTGTAAAAACTCGCATGCAGTCTCAGATTGGTGGGGAATTTCAGTCTTTTCCCCAGGTTTTCAAAATAATCTGGTTAGAACGAGACAGGAAACTGACAAATCTCTTCAGAGGTGCCCATCTGAATTACCACCGGTCTCTCCTCTCTTGGGGCATAATCAATGCAACTTATGAATTCCTGTTAAAAATTACATGAGAGAAATAATTAAGTGCCATGTACCTACTGACTAGACTTTTAAAGAAGAATGTAGTTTGGCCTTGTTCCTAATTGGCCAATATAAGTTGGTGTCGAAAGTTCAGGGCACAATGAATTATGGCAAAGCTGTTTTCCTTAAGCACCAACAAATTCAGAATAAAAGGTTTGAGTAGAAAATTTTAAGGTTTTTTTTTGTTTTGTTTTTTAAAATATGTTTTTATTGATTTCAGAGAGAGGAAGGGAATGAGAAACATTAATGATGAGTAAGAGTCATGGATTGGCTGCCTCCCGCATATCCACTACTGGGGAGCCCGCAACCTAGGTTTGGGCTCTGGCTTGGAAGCGATGCTCCAACACTACACCACAATGGCCAGGCTGCTTTGTTTTGTTCCAGTTACCTGAGAATTCTGGGCTAATTGCTTGGTTAATAGTTGTCTATCTGATGGATGGTTTTTGATGAGGAAACTAATAGCCAAGATAGTCTTTTGCCCCAAATCTCTAAACCCTTATTAAAACATAGTGGCCATGACCAGCAGAGAAAAGGCTCTTCGGTCTCCTTGGATTCTCAGGCTTGCTTTTATTACTCCATTTCTTGCATCTCTCCTCTTAGGAGGAGTTGCAAAGTGTAGTCTGCTAAACTTAAGCATATACACAAGGAGCAGGACAAGGAAGAAAGCTTAATAAGTGTAAGCTTTTCATGATAAATTGCTTGTATTGGTTTTGAAACAGCACCTGTTAGGATAATCATTATTCACACTGCTTCTATTTAGACATGGTAGACTCCAGCAGCTAATGAAAGCTCCATTTGCTTTCTAGATTTTAAAGCTTTCTGCTTAATTCTAAATGTGACCTTAAAGCTGTCCAAAATATCCCCATGTTACTTTCACTTATTCCATTGCCAAAATGTGGGGAGACTTAAATTTTGTCATAGGCATTTCATCTTATTAAGTTTCATATTAATTATGTAAAGATCAAACTCTCTTTATCTCAATTTCTTTGAGTTATTGTTGCCAACTTAGCAAACAGCTTTGGGTTCCCCCCTCCCCCCCTTTGAGTACTAGTTTGTCTTATTCAAATATTCTGTTCTCTTGAAACTCCTTTTAGAAAACACTTCCATAAAACTTTATTTTGAAAGTCTATTTAATAGAATCCCAGGTTTTTATTTCTGGTTTCTCAATGTTTTGTCTGAGGGAGGGGGCACCTCAGGATAGCTTTCACCTCACAGTGTTAGCTGTCTTTTTTTAATTTTAATTTAGTTTTGGAAATAAAGGCTTGCATTAGGATTTTTACATTTTGGGAACCCAATTTTACCATTTTTAAAAAATATATATTTTTTATTGATTTTTTACAGAGAGGAAGAGAAAGGGATAGAGAGTTAGAAACATCGATGATAGAGAATCATCGATCAACTGCCTCTTGTACCCCCCCTACTGGGCATGTGCCCGCAACCAAGATACACGCCCTTGACTGGAATTGAACCTGGGACCCTTCAGTCCGCAGACCGACGTTCTATCCTCTGAGCCAAACCGGTTTTGGCCAATTTTATCATTTTATCATTAAAACAATTTGAGAGGATCAGATCTAAATAAAGACATTTGAAAGGTTAATTTTAAATTTCTAGTCTTTGGTAATAGCTGGATAGATTAGTCATCTCTTATCTAACAAAAACGTATTTGTCAAAGGAATCAGATTTTAAAATATATTTTCCCGATAAATCAGTCAAAATGATTCATACAACAGTTGAATGATTAGTAAAACCTGAAACACTAGAAAGGTGGTTTATTTTATTTTTTTTTAAACCTACATCTATAAATATGTAGTTAAGATTGCTTTCCAGCATCTGGCATGGCAGAGTAGTTAGGATTCTTACTACCAGTTTTTCATCAGACTGGGTAATTGCATATGAAAATGTGCACGTAATGACCAAAATAAAATCAGGGTCTCAATTGGTAGCTTACTCAGTTTCTGGGCAGATAGTCCAAAACAGATGTTTACCTCTACATGCAGTATGGCTGGTCAAATAAAATGAACGTTCTTCCAACCAAAAGGATTAGGAAGCATAATCAAGCATTTGTTAGGCAATAATCAAGCTCAGGAGATTTACACAGCTCTGCTTGACAGTGTTGTGCTAAAAATGGCAGTTTACTTTAATATATTTTATTGATTTTTTTTTTTTTATAGAGAGGAAGAGAGGGAAAGAGAAACATCGATGAGGACATCGATCAGCTGCCTCCTACACACCCTCCCCTCCCCCCCTCCCCACTGGGGATGTGCCCGTAACCAAGGTACATGCCCTTGACCGGAATCGAACCCGGGACCTTTCAGTCCGCAGGCCAACGCTTTATCCACTGAGCCAAACCGGTTTTGGCAATGGCAGTTTACTTTAGCAACCAAGGTGCAAATGTCAGGATTTTAGAAAACTGTCACCAAATAAATGTGAGTAGCATCCTTGGTTGCTATGAAAGCGTCAAGAGTGAGGACTGGAAGCAGTTCTTTCAGAAATGAAGACATTGGCACTGTGGTGCCTGACCCTCATCTGTGTAAGCCCTGAGCACTGCCTGTCCAGGTACTCGGCCTGTGGCAGGGGTGTTGGCCTGGGGTCATGCTCTGGCCCTGGGAGAGGACTCCATGGGCCTTTGGTTCCACAAGGCTTGCTTTTGTCTATACACTCCATGCAGGTGGTAGAAATCTTAAGTTCTAAAGCACTTTGTAAAATACAAGTGAAGTGAGAATATAAAGGAGATGCTTTGGTTTCTGCTGTCTCAAATATGTGGTATTTACAAACAATAAATATTTTTAATGGTTTTAACTCATACTTTTGGATTTCTTTGTCACCTTTTACAGCTTTTGAAGACCAAACTGCTACATTACCAGGGATGGTTCTTTGTTGTCCTATAGACTTATTAAATTTGACAAAAAGTTTAACAGAACTTGTAACCAACAGCTTTGTCTGAACTTGAAAATAAGTCAAATTTATGCTAACAAGTAAGATTCTACCTACTGTTTTTACCTTCAGTGTGATTAGTACAGTAATTCTGAAAAGGCAAATATGATTGATTAACTATTTGAAAAGCTTTAAAAGTGGCCCTTTCTGTTACATATATGTGACACAGACTGCTCATGAGCACAGGGCACTTCTGGTCTTGCCTCCTATATTCATGTCTGATGTTATGGATTCCATGTTTAACATACGTAGAGTGGTATGAGCCCTCAGGACTGCACCACAGACTAAACACAACCTCTATGTGATGGGAAGTTCGTGTGTCTGTTTCATTTGTGTTGGAGATAAAATTGATGTTGTTTGTCTCAATAGTCAATATTCATCTTATAGTTACATAATCACCTATATATTGTGAACTGTGTGGTAAAACAGAATTGTGTACATATAATCATTCTTTGGAGACCTGAAATTCCCTAGCTCAATTACAGTGGTAATACTCAGAAGGCTGTGCGAACGTGTGAGCGAATAATGGGTGGCAGACAGGACTTGTGAAATGGGATCCGGAGGGCTTCCTGGTGAGCCAATCATGTTGACCAGCACTGGTGCAGTGTGGATGAAGTACGGAGCATGAGGGGCATGCGGTCAAAATGAAGGCGAGATAGGTCATGTTTGAAAAAGACTTGATTTCTTCCAAGTGAAAATAATTCTCTTGTTTTCTCATGCATATAAATGCATATCAAAGACTTGAACACCTATTCTTACATTTGAGACTTTTTAATGCTGTTCTCCCCCCCCCTCCCCCTTAATATTATATATTTGCCTAAATGGCTCCCAAATTATGGGGCAATCTCTTCAGTACGTGTTTCCGTTTTTAAAGTTTCATTAAAGTGGTTAAGCACACAAAGCTGTTTTTGTTTGAATTTTGTGACTGTGAGTTTAAATGAAACCGTTAAATGTTTCAGAGTCAACATGCTTCTTTTGGTAATTCTTTGTGGAATAAAGTTTTCTTTTCTTACGTCCATTTGGTCTTTTGTAGTTGGGTTAGCTACTAGCACGTTTCCTTTCTGTGTGTGGTAAATTGAAATTAATCTATTAGTGTTTCGTTGATAATACATTTAGCCACGCTATTTTGGTTATTAGCAACTTCCCCTGGGGAACAAGAGGAGTTCCAAACAACTTCATTTTCCAGAGAGCTGAACTGCAAAGTATTTTGATCTTTAAAGCTTTTCTCAAGTGAAATTTTTTTTCTACTGAGTGTAAAACTGTCTTGATATATTCAGTTGGCCAGTAATTTCTGTTGTAATCATATACCTTTGGGTCATGCTTACCCAGGCTAGATGGTCTAAATCAGCGGTTCTCAACCTGTGGGTCGCGACCCCTTTGGGGGTCGAACAACCCTTTCACAGGGGTTGCCTAAGACATCCTGCCTATCAGATATTTACGTTATGATTCATAACAATAGAAAAGTTAGTTATGAAGTAAGCAACGGAAATAATTTTATTGAGGGGGGGGGGGGGGCTGTCACCAAAACATGAGGGAAGTGTATTAAAGGGTCGTGGCATTAGGAAGGTTGAGAACCACTGGTCTAGATGTTTGTGCATTTTAGGATTTTTCTATCTGCTTGAAACTTCATAGCTGCTCCTTTGTTTTCGAGTGAAGCCATATTAGCACACTGTTGGTTTACACGTAAAATTGTAAGGAGCTCCCTGTGTTGGGAGAGAGGTGTAGCTTGAGGACAACTAAGGGAGCAGTTGCTGCTGTAAAGTGTTCCTGAAACTCCAGTTTAGGGTAGAAATTCATTATAACAGTGAATATCCTGAACTTTATAATTGGTAATTGGGGTGTTTTATATGCCATCTGGTGAAGTGTCTTTTTAAAAATATATATTTTATTGATTTTTTTTTTTTTTACAGAGAGGAAGGGGGAGAGGGATAGAGAGCTAGAAACATGGATGAGAGAGAAACATCCACCAGCTGCCTCCTACACACCCCCTACTGGGGATGTGCCCACAACCAAGGTACATGCCCTTGACCGGGATCGAACCCGGGACCTTCCAGTCCACAGGCCGATGCTCTATCCACTGAGCCAAATCAGTTTCGGCATGATGAAGTGCCCTTTTAACCCATCTGCGGCAGCCATTATGGACCACAGAGTGAGGGGAGCATGTAGAGAATATTTCTCGAGTGGGGAGGGGCCTAGAGCTCACACAGCTGCAGAGCACTCCCGGGCTCCCAGCAGGCTAATTTCCCACTTAATCCATTTAGGCACTGAAGTTTCCATAGAGAACATTACACACACACACACCCCTCTCCATGAGCAAATCTGATTTTGAAGCAGAAATTGAGAATAGTATTTATCTAAGTTCTCATCTCTCTCTAATCCATTCTTCATGTTGCTGACTGATGTTTTTCGATGAAATGATCCAGGCCCTTTCACCTTTCCTCTCATCTCGAGCTAAAACTGCCCTGCCCAGACCCTGCCCTCAGCACAAGGACTTCTTCCTCCTTTAGCCGCCTGGCCTTGACCAGTTCCTCTGCCCTGTACACCGCACCCTTCCCGACTCACTCATTAATTCCCGCTGAGGACTTGAGACTGAGATCAACGGCCACTGGAGAGAATACAGCCCACACTTGCAGGACTTAAGTCCGGTCCCCCTTTTAAATGTTCTATCGCTATCACATCCCTGTTTTAACTGTATGGTGATTATTTTATGCTTTTGGCCCTTTTCAAATATCCGCTCCATAAGGCAGGGATTCTGCTCTAGATTTCAGTGTTTCAAATGCCTGGCACAGTGACTGACACCTGATAGATAAAAATATTTCTTTAGGAATCAAGAGAGTGAAGGGACACGTGGATATTCAGGATCACAGCATTCTGGAATAGCCTATCTGGCCTTCATTCCTGGAGGGTCATGGAGGTTAAGGAAAAGTTTACACTACTCAGGCTGCCATAACGAAATACCATAGAGTGGATGGCTTAAACAGCAGACATTCCTCACAGGTCCGGAGGCTGGTAAGTCCAAGATCAAGGTGCTGGCAGATTTGGTTCCTGGTGAGAGGCCTCTTAGTGTGCAGACTTCTCACTGTGCCCTCTCATGGCAGAGAGAACCTCCTGACCTTGTTTACGCCTCATTCTCTCTCAAAGGCCTCGTTTCTAAATACCGTCACATTGAGGGCTTCAGCCTGTTAGTGTTTTGGA